TTTACCTGGAACAACTCTGACTGTCACAGGTACTGATCAACACACACTGATTATTTAATTCAGCTCAGTTTTTCTTTTGTGTTGATGGGTGTATTTATTGTTTTTAGTATTTAATATCTGATGTCTGCTGTATTGTCATATTCAGCTCTGCAGGTGAAGGTGAGCAGAATAATATCAGTCAATGAGTCTCGGACTGAGGCAGAGCTGCAGTGTGAAAGCAGCTGCAGTCCAGCTGGTCGTCTTTCTTTTGTCTGGTTCAAAAACAATCAGTTTATGGTTGAACAAAGTTCTTATCAAGATCTGTTCAATCCTGGAGACATCATCTCCTGTGCTTTCAAAGGACATGAAGATTATCCCTCAGATCCTGTGTGTAAGTTTACTTTACTGTGATAAACATGGTGAATATTTTTATAATTTTGGCTTTTTGTTAACCAAAATATTAGATATTAAGTACAATTCACAATACTATTCAACCATCTAATTTCTGCAAGTGTTTTGCTGTACAGTTTAAAGGTGAGCAGAGTCAGGTTCATGAATCAGAGGCAGGTACTCAAAGTCCAAAATAACAGTCTTTGTGCTGAAGAGTTGTTTGATCCTGATAAGAGAACATGAAAGATCGTTTCCTATCATTTCCTACCTGTGGACTGCCATGTGGTGATGAAAGCAAATAAGACAGCAGTACCTTGAACAATATATGTGTAGGGTTTAAGAGGAATATTGTTGGGTCTGCGCTTCAGCAAACCCGCTAGTTCAGAGACTCATCACTCATGACGAAAGCCAGACAATGATGGAACCGGGTTTTACTTGCTAGCAACGGAAGGCTGGTCGGAACCCAAGATCTTGGAGCTGAACGCTCCTCACCTTTTTCCTAGCCAACTTCAAATATACAACCTTTCTTGCAGCCTTTTATTCTGAGAATACAAGCACCATCCACCATCCACCATCCATGCAGTTTAAGGCACGGTTTACAAATTTAAGTACAACAATGACAACATTTAACAATTTACTCTGACAAATATCTACTTAAGGAAATCACTGTAAAGCATAGATACTGTAGAGAAGACGCAGAAAAATAATGATAAAAGTCTGTTTTTTAACCCTTTAAGACCTACCATAGAACCAAATCCGTCAGAGCTTACTTTATATTTTTACATGCTGTAGTGCCATTTTTGGGAGCATTTCAAGTTGCTATACATCAATACAACTGTTTATTTATATATACTGCAGAAAAAACGAAAAACAATCCTATAATGCAAATTTGCAAAGAAAACAGCATGTGCATTAAAATAAACTATTTAAAGCAGTGCAAATTGAGTAGAAACTATTCAGGAAAGCATAAAGTCAAACATGACTTTTAAAAACACCAGTATAGGCTTATAAGGCCTATAAGAAAAAACAAATTTTTTGCGAAAATGACGTCACTTCCGGTTTCGGGTAGGTAATGGTGGAGATGCGATCGTTCGCGCTGACGTCTATTTCAATGTAGGAAGTGCTATGAACAGCTGATCGGATTGGCAAAGCGTGTTTCTGGACTATTATGTTTTTGTTCCTGCAAGCGCTTTTTATGCAATTTTTGCAAAGCTATATGTGGAAGGAAACCGTGACCTAGGACAAGCTGATGGCATGAGATGTAAGTACAACTCCTCCGGTTTCATATGGAAAAAAATTATTGCGCTAGCTTATGTGGTTTACGGGGGATTTAAAAATAGTTACGCCAAACGGAGTGTGCCCGCTCCGACCGGCTTTAAAGGGTTAATGATTAGAATAGTTTTTTATTTGTTCTAACTATTAACAGAGAAATACAAAATGTCCATCCGTCCATCTTCTTTGGCATATCCAGGGGCAGCAGCATAAGCATTTATCCTAAGCAGATTGTATCCGCAATCTCGTTCTTTAGGTCACTACCCACAACTCGTGACCATAGGTGAGGGTACGGGCGTAGATCAACCGGTAAATTGAGAGCTTTGCTTTTACACTCAGCTCTCTCTTCACCACAACGGACCAGTACAGCATTCACATCACTGCAGCCGCAGCACCAATCCGTCTGTCAATCTCCCACTACCATCTCCTGTCACTAGTGAACAAGACTGCAAGATACTTAAACTCCTCCACTTGGGGTAGGAACTCGTCCCTGATCTGGAGTGGGTACTCCAGCCTATTCCAGCTGAGGACCATAGCCTCAGATTTGGAGGTGCTGATTTTCATTCCCACCACTTCACACTCGTCTGCAAACTGGTCCAGTGCAAGCTGGAGGCCATCACCCGATAAAGCCAACAGAACCACATCATCGTCGAAATGCAGAGATGAGATTCTGAGACCACCTAAGTGAAAGCTTTCCGCCACTTGGCTGCACCTATAAATTCTGTCCATAAAAACAGACTCAACGACAAAGGGCAGTCCTGGCTGAGCCCATCATCCACCGGGAACGACACCGACTTATTGCCGGCTATGCGGATCAAGCTCTTGCAATGGTTGTATAAGGATCGAATTGCCTGTAGCAAAGGGCCAAACACCCAATACTCCTGGACACCTCCCACAGGACACTCCGAGGGACACGGTTGAATGCGTTCTCCAAGTCCACAAAGCACATGTAGACTGGTTGGGCAAACTCCAATTCACCGTCAAGTATCCTTGAAGTATTCCTGCCACTGCCCGACAATTTTCTCAGTTGAAGTCAGCAGCGCTCTACCCACTCTATACACAGTGCACTTAGAGCACCACTTTCCCCTCCTGAGTCGCCTAACTGTTTGCCAGAATCTCTTCAAGACCTCTCCGAACTCCTCCCACAACCGAGTTTTTTGCTTCAGCCACTGCCTTCTTCTTGGCCTGTAGCTACCTATCAGTTCATTATGGTCAAACTGCGTTTGGTACAGTTCAACAACAAAACACAGCTTGGCTTCTGATCCAGGTGGCCGTTCCACCCAATCACGCCCACTGAGCGTTGAAGTCTCTCAGTAGAAAAATAGAGTCCCCAGGTGGAGCACCCTCCAGCACCCCACCCAGGGCTGGGTGCTCTGAACTGCTACTTGGCGCATAAGCGCAGATGACAGTCAGGAAAAGTTTCCAGACCCGAAGGCACACAATGCACCCGAGGATGGGCCCATGTCCCTTTTTTGGGCTGTGCCCAGCCAGGCCCATGGACTAAAGCACGGCCACAAGACGCTTGCCCTCGGTCCTGGCTCCAGGGTGGGGCCCATGGTAACCATTTCCCGGGCAGGGTGTACTGTTCCCTTGGTGTTATACTCACAGGGTTCTGAATACAAAATGTATTCAGATTAATTTCTAAAGCCAACTCATGAAAATTAATATTCTAATGTTAATATTCTCTGTTTTAGACATTCCAGAGGTTCCCTCTGTGACAGTGAGTCCTTCTGGTGAGATAGTGGAGGGCAGTTCAGTGACTCTGGCCTGCACTGGTGATGCTAATCCAATGGCTAAATACACCTGGTACAAGGAACAAAAACAGATCAGCCACGAAAAGCAAATCAACTTCAGGTCCATCCAGTCTTCTGATTCTGGAGAGTATTACTGTACCGCTGAGAAAGAGCTGGGCAAATGGCCAATGATTGAACACATCTCCATCAAAGTAAATTGTGAGTCAAGTATATATATATATAAATATATGTATATATAATCTCAGATTCAGAAAAGAGGCATCATGACATTGAAACTCTAGGATTTGAAAGTCTGTTGTATCATGAATGGATATTTAAAGTTTAAGAAAATTACTTTATACAATTTCTTCACATTTGTTAGCTAGAGCACCAAATTTGAATTTCAGTTTACTGCATGCATTTGGCATAAATTTGTCCACATTTCTTCCAGATGCTCCAAAGCTTCCCTTTGTGTCAGTGAGTCCCTCTGCTGAGATAGTGGAGGGCAGTTCAGTGAGTCTGACCTGTAGCAGTGATGCTAACCCAGCAGCTGATTACACCTGGTACAAAGACAAAAAACTGATGAGTAGAGAACAGCAGTTAACCTTCAGCTCCATCCAGTCTTCTGACTCTGGAGAGTATTGCTGTACTGCTGAGAATGAGCTGGGCAAAAACTCATCTGAAGTCATCTCTATCAATGTGAAATGTGAGGGAAGACAGACTTTTCTTATATTGACATTAAAATGCTACGATTGTATAATCGACTCTATCAAGTGTGGATAATCAAAATTATAGAAAGTTTTTGTGCCACTTGTAGACATTTTTTAGGTTGAGCACCAAAGACGAATACATATTTGCTGCATTGTTATTATTATAATTTCTTCCACAGCATCACATTGTCTTATGGTTACAGAACAGTTTATCTAGTTTATTCTGGCATTTTTGAACTACCAGTCTCAGTTAGGTAAGATAAATAAAATACCTTTTCACTGCCAGCCGTCATCATGTCCTCAAGCTTTGCAGTTGGCTCAAGTGTTCTCTGCCAAAGACGTTTTTAACAGTAATGCTCTTCATGGTCATCATCATGAACAATATACTCACCTCATACTCACTTTTTTTTTGTGAGACCCTGTATTATTATATCACTCCCAAAAGACCATTGAGAGAGACATTCATACATTATTATTTTTCCACAAAACACCCAAATAATGATAATGACCAACAATGAGATCAAAAGAGCATTTCACAAGTAAGTAAAAGTGTGGCATGAAATGTTTTAACTGTTCTCCAATCTGATGTTTGAAAATCTATTTCCTCTGGCTGTCATAGCCATAGTCAGTGCTGCCAGTGTTGGATATCCAGCTCTGTTTTTCTTAATTAGAAATATGATTATGTCTTTAACTGTAGTGTTTTTTGTCATTTGTCATCTGTGTCTTTTTGACATTTTGTAAATACAAACTGAAAGAGAGTAAATGAAATCCTCTAAAGTACTGACCAGTGTGACATGGGCAAACTTTCAGGTTCAATGGTAATCAGTGTGTAGCAGCTACAAAAGACACTGTCATTGTCCTAAATATGTCAGAGAGAATTTAATTGATACTTGCAGCTGTGGAGCTTTTTAGATTAAATTAAGTGGGCTCCCATTAGTCCCATTAGCTAATGTTATCAACAAGTCTTACTGTTCGGTTTTCTCTGTATTTAGTGTTGAGTCGGTTGAGGTCGCGTTCACTAAAGGTCGTGGTGTGCACATTTTAACACACAAACAGTTGTTCTCCTGGCATTCGGAACAATCAACATAATAGCACAATGGAGTTGTAAAATGTCCTAATGTTGGTTTTAGTATTGTTACAGTTTAGAGTTAGAATTAGATTCAGAATGAGTCGTTAATTTGAAGAGTTTGGTCGATCAGTTTGATCTTTTGTGTCCATCTCCTAATCTCTTAGTTTTCAGAGAAGTTTTCAGTTTGGTCAATTTGGTTTCAATTTGGTTTCAATTTGGTTTCCTAGACTCATGGGAAAAAACAGCTGCAGTTGCATCCATGGCTGTTCTATTTCTGGCTATCGTAATCTCTGGAATCATATTCATTAGGTGAGCAGTTCAGTTTTAATGTTTTAATCAATGTTTTTTATTGATTTTATATAATTAATTAAAATGTTCATTCATTCTTCTGTACAGAAGAAAAGGATGCTTCAAAACAAATTCATCCAGAGAAAGGCCAGACAACAAACCAGAGGTAAGGAAGAAGAGGTCAGGTAGCAGGTATACATATATGAACCTGAAAAAGACCATTTTAATGTAAATGAATCTCTTTGTATATGTCGCATACACTGCACAGTGGGAAGTTTAAATTTGGCTGCTATAGTACAGAAGTTTGATGACTTTGTATAGTTTACATGCTTCAAACTTCATGTCCCACCCAGGTTTATGAGATCCACACTGCACAGTGTGGCTTGTAATGATTGATTTCTAATACTGCACAGTGTGTGGGTACCTTTAGTTAAGACAGTGATTAATTGTAATCAGTTTTCATGTGTTGAGAAAATTACACTTTTTTATTTAATGCTGTTGTTGGTGGCATTGCTCTTCCTTTGCTCGGGATATAAACCTCTCCAGGAATACAGATACAAGGTTTGGGAGGCTGTGGCTCAGATGGCAGGGGAGGGCGGGAGGTCCAACCATAACCTTTAACCTTTAATAGTTATCTTGAATTTCAGGAAAATGCATATTATCACATGTTTGACCCTGAACCAAGTGGGCGTCCAAAGCGTGGCGGCCCTTCAGCTCCAGCACAGAGTAGAGCATCAGAGGAGCAGCAGGATGATCTTTGCTATTCCAGTGTAACTTTCATAAAGAAGCCAGAAGAGCACGACTACTACAACATTCTCCCCATTAAGGCCAAAAGACAAAAAGAAAAGGACGAAGAAGTAACAGATGTGGACTACACTGTGGTCAGATTAAACAGCACCCAAAGGTGAGGACACTTAGTTTCTGTGGGAATGTGTCCATAATTTCTTTGTTTTGTTTTTGTAAATGCATTGTTTATTTAGTTTTGGTGTAACTTTGGTCTAACTTAAGAAAAGAAAACACTTAATGTTACTGATATTGTGAGTTTTACTGACATCATATTTACCTTTACAGATTAAGAGATCAACAGGCTGCAGAGCATTCATCAGCACTGTACAGCACAGTCAGGAAAAAGTAGAGTATGAACATGAATGTGTGTCCTCAGTGTACATATTTAATGCTTTTAG